GATATTCAGTGTAGCATTGCTCACAGTGCAAAATAGTGGCAACTGAAATATCCATACATAGGGGAGTGGTTAAATATATAAAACATATATATGAAATGGTTTCATATATTATAAAATACATAAAGCCATTAAAAAGAATGTGGTAGCTCTATATGTTACAGAAGAGGATATATATATATAAAAAATAATAATTTGCGACTTCGTGTGTGTGTGTGTGTGTGTGTGTGTGTGTGTGTGTGTGTATTTCTGGAAGGATAAATAAGAAACTGATCCAAATGGTTTTTTCCTCCAGGGAAGGCAATAGGATGGAGCACACAAGTGAGAAAACAACCCTTAATTTTCACTGTGCATCCTTTTGTACTTTTGAATTTTGAACTATGCACACATATTATTTATTCAAAAATAAATACAAGTATATTTAAAGACATTAGGCTTACAGACATCCCAGTGACAGCAGGTTCAATCACCTGAATCAGTATGAGAATATTTGCATACATTAATCTCTTTTCAAAAAGTCATTTTTAGGCAGTTTCCTTGGTGTCTATGTCATCCCTGTTCGTAAAAATATACTAATATTCAGTGCGTCTATTTATTAGTTGAAGTTTGAACATGCTGCTTCTCGTTCCTTCTACTCTTAGAGGGAGTCAACAAAATAGATGACTGTCCTTATCTTTAGAGTAGACAAAGGGGTGTGTGTGTGTTGGGGGGGTGTGTATAAAAGTGGGGGACTGCAAGTATATTGTCCTATTTTAGAGACATGTTTCAATTTAAAATAATCTAAAACAATACATTCCAATTCAAAAAAAGTCTAAAGCCAGAATGTATTATGTATGTTATACATGATGGGTTTGATTTCAAAGATGGCTACAAAAGGCTTTCTGACACATTATACACCTGAAGGCTATGCTTATTTTTAGATTTTTTCATCAGTTTAAATTCTCTTCAGAATATAGCCTCCCACTCCCCACCTCTGCTAATTGCTATATACTATAAAGTAGTTGTCTGTTTTACAGATTGGAAACCCTGCACGGAGACAGAGCTTGCCAAGGGCCCTTAGGAATAGATCTAATATTGGAAGTTCACATTGTCTTCTAGCCTAACTTGAATGTGCACACAACTCACGTGCGTATTTTGCTAAAATGAAGATTCTGATTCAGTAGGTCTGGAGGGATGTGTGAGATTCTGCCCTTCTAAAAAGCTTCCAGGTGATGCCAATGTTGTAGGTCCACAGACTACACTTTGAGTAGCAAGTGTAGTCTTGCTAAGACCAAAGTCAAAGACCATACAGTTTCTTGTTTAGGCTTGATATAGCCTAATCTGGATGCTCTGTAATCATGTGTCTTTCCAGTCATCAGATAAACGTAGCGACCCAGTTGCAAGCGTTGCTAATACCATGTAAATACGACTGAATTAAGCAGAGAAAGCCTTTTTTTCTATATCTTTTGATTTCTATGATGATGGATTTTTCTAAATAATCCTAGCCTCTTGTACCACCCTTTGCTACTGAATGATTAACAGCAGGTGTTCCACTTTTCTCAATCAAGAGGAGACAATGAAAAGCACTGAGGAAGAGAAAATGAGACACAGAGAGAGAGAAAGAGAGAGAGAGAGCGAGCGAGAAGGCAGAGAAGAGAGAGAAGAGAAGGTTGTGGGGATGGTCTTTTTACTTCCCCCACTTCAGTATGAAGCAGCAGCATCTTGGGTAAGTGTGCGTGTTCTCCAGACTCAAACCCTCCCTTTGGCGAGCAGTTCTGATGCTTATTGGGCACCTTGTATGGAGAACAAGAACTTATCAGGCACGTTTACCTTTATCAGTAATAACAGTGATAAGTTGATTTCCCATCTGCCTTATGCTTTAGTCTTACTTGTCAACTGATTCAGAACTTAGGGTAGAGGGAAGAGGGGTGTTATCGACTGAATCCTTTCAAATCCCCAACACCACCTAGACAACCAGCTAAGACAGTAATGGCACGTTTGAAAAGGTCATAAATTCAGACTCTGCCTCTTCCCTAACACATCCTAGGGCTACTTTCCAGCTTCATCTCATCCTTTGAGCAATGCTGTCCTATCCAAAACTCAGCCTAGAGCCCAGACCTTAATCTGATTCTTTCGTTAGGTCTCTTGGAGGTTCCTCATCTGTACACTCCTACTCCTAAATGCAGAAAACAGAAAAACATCATTTATCCCCCCTTTCCCCTTTGATATGCCTTGTATTGGGCAAAATCTAATTTTACTTTATCCATTATCTCTGCCAAGAGGCATGACCTTCAAATCATACTGTTTCCATTTTACCTTCCCTGTGGCTATCTTCCCATTCAGAAAGAAACCAGAACTTAAAGCCCTAGTTAACTCTTAATAAAGCTTCCAAATTCCTCTGCCTTTGTTTCTTACCTTCTCCTGGATCCCTTCATCATCACCAGCAAAGTACAAAATAGGGACATTGAGCTCAGAGGCAGCTACCCATTGAAGGACGGCTTGGAGTTGCTTGTTCTGAACTGTATCCGTTAGGTTGTGATTGCTGACAATCACCTTGGGTGCTGCACACCCTTCAGAAGGCTGACCTGATATACCTCTCATTTCATTATGGATAGCTTGATAGGCATTCTGCAGGAGAGCTTCTGCTGACCCTGTGCCCTTGACTGGCAAACACTCATATAAACTATCTGGGAAGGTCGAAGTTAGCCTACTGGCATCTCCAGACTTGTCATCTCCCAACTTGTCATCTCCCAGCTCTGCCAAAGAAGAATCACAGGACTTAGCAATGATGACACACAGCTTCATCACTGAGTTCATCAGATGTTCTACCATCTGCCCACTCATGTGGCCATCTATCTGGCTGACAACCATCTTGGTCAGCCCAGAAAGGGCACCAGGGGTCTCATCATCTTCACATAGTTTAGGGGGAGACGGGGCTAAAGGTCTTTCACACAACTTCCTATCTTCCTTAACTGGCTGTTCCGGCACCTTGGGTTCAGAGCTCTGGTCACGCTTGAAAATGGTCTCACTAAGTAAGTTCCGGATGAAATTGAAGAAAACACTCCTTAGGTCCTTCTTTTCTGCTTGTTCTTGGTCACCTACAATGGGAGCAGACTTCAGGCAGGATTCATCAGGAACTACAGGAGGCTCATTGGCAGGAAAGTTGGTGGTGCCAGCAGCTTCAAGGAAGCTCTGTCCATCCCTTCTTCCTCCCTGGGCCAGGTGATATTGAATCAGAAGTAGGGCAGATACGATCAGGTCCTTGGCCCAGGAGTCTGAATCACATATAAAATTCTCAGGTTTCTCTGGGGGATATGGAGGAGGGCTGAGGTTGCAAATATCTTCAGGGTACTCAAAGGAAATGTCTGGTGAAGGCTTACACTGTGTGTTGGGAGCTTCACATGCTGCATGCTGGAAACCTAGAGATTTACATTCTTTCTGTTGACTTTTATGCCACAAGGTCAGCCCCTCTTTGATAATGTGTTCACCCAGAGTTTTGGCACAAGTCTCCTCCTCTGATTTGGGTTCAGAATACATTTGTTCTCTCAATTTAGTTTCAGATTTCATGTGAAAGTTCACATTTCGGTTTTTAGGATCACCCATTCCTTTCATGGAGATGAGGGAATAACTCTCAGCCGTGTCTTGGGCTTTCCTGACATGCTCAGGGACTTTCTTGACAAACATTACATTGTACAGCTTCCTTAGCATGGCATCCATGATATCTGCGGCCTTTTGGCTTCCGTGAGTGAAGACAGTTCTTTTCACAGCCGAGACAAACTGTGTGTCAGTCATGAGGGTCCCTGTGATGCTGTGGAGGTTCCTCATGAAGGAGTCGATGAGATCCGAGACCACATCTTTTGCATGCTTGAGCAGAACCTTCTTCAGTAGGATGGTGGCAAGGGTTGTGTCTTTCACTTGGATCTTCAGTGTCTTCATGATGGAGACCATCATATCAGACACCACACTGTTAGCATAGGTCATGATCCCTTCACTAACAGAAGCTGTAAAGTCATCAGGCCTTTCCTGCCCTCGAAACCTCTTTCTCTCCTGAGGAAAGAACCTTCCACTCTCTCTGGCATAATCTCCATTACGAGATTCAAACACTTCCTTATAGAAGAAAGACTTCTTAGAAGCAGGCTTGTCCTCTGGACCCTGTCTTTCTTTGGCGCGCTCCTCGATCTTCAAAGTGGACTTGTATTTCAAATTTGGGGGACTTTGTGATGATCCTGAGGCTCTGTCTCCAGAGCCAGGAGCCTTGTCTGGGGCAGCATTTCTGGAACAGGCAGAGACGGTCTCATTCACAAGCTCCGATGCTATCTTACTGAGGCTTTTGGTGGGTGGGGGTTCATTCCCCATGTAGAATGACTGATGGACACATTTGTTTTCAGAGCCATCGATCTTCTCATTGATCTCTTTGCGGGCCATGGCTATGACTAGATTCGTGAGGCGGTTAGCATAGAAGGAAACTTCATCTACTGAACTCCCATTGCCAAGTTGGGCCCTGGGGCCCTGGCAAGGATTCTCTTTGTGAGTCATCTCAAAATGCAATCTTTCTGGAATGCCCTTGGTGTTGTTGTAATAGTCTACAGAGAAACCTTTGTGTGGGTCTCCTGAGTTGGACGTTTCCCCACCAAATGATTCTCCGGGTTTGAACCTAACATCTTGGAACTCTGCTGTACTTTTCTCCAGGTCTCTGCGGAGACAGCTGAGCACTCTGACAGGATCCGTGGAGGTGTCCTTAAAAATAGACAAGGATTCATCTGACTATAACCAAGTAAAGATATGGGATATTCAAGACAACCTCAAAGTTCAGTTACAAATGTCATCAGCCCTCTCAAGATTGCTCCATCTTGGCAATAAAAGTAACCATTTATGGAGTACTCACTGTGTATCAGACGTTGTTCCAAGTATTTTAAGACTATTATCTCATTTAATTAGTTTCATAATAAACCTGAGATTTAGCTCTCTTATTATCCTCATTTTACAGAGGAGGAAATTGAAGAACTGAGAGGTTAAGTTTGTAACTTATTTGAAATAATACAGCTAACCATTGATGGAGCAGAAATTCCAGCCCTGGCAGTCTGACTCCACAGCCCATGCGCTCAGCTAGTGTATTATATTGCTTCTAATGACATAAATCTTTAAGATCTGATAGTCTGCTATCAGACCTCCAGCTCCATCCATGTCCCTGTAAAGGACATGATATCATTCTTTTTTAATGGCTGCATAGTATTCCATGGTGTATACGTACCACATTTTCTTTATCCAGTTGATCATTGATGGGCATTTAGGTTGATTCATGAACAGAAAACCAAATACCACATGTTGATACTTATAAGTGGGAGCTAAATGATGAGAACACATGGACACATAGAGGGGAACAACACCCACTGGGGCCTTTTGGAGAGTGGAGGTAGGGAGGAGGGAGAGGACAGGGAAAAATAACTAATGGGTACTAGGCTTAATACCTGGGTGATGAAATAATCTGTACAGCTACCCCCATAACACAAGTTTACCTACGCAACATACGTGCACGTGTACTCCTGAACTTAAAAACTGAAAAACAGATCTGACAGTCATCAGTTAGATAGAAGAGTTAGCATGTGAACGGAATCAGATTTTTTCCTGTTTTAATATTAATTGCTATTTTCTATGGTTTACCTGTTTTTATTTAGATCTTATTACAAGTATAGTTTCCAAAAAACGAGAAAATTCAGGGAAAATTGTGCATAATTAATCACTTTGCCAGGCTGCACAAACACTATCTGGATATGTTAAAGGGCTTCCAATGGACTGACATCATTTAAGTTAACAATCTGATTTATAATTCAGGAGTTAATATGTATGGGCAATTTATTCATTTTGTGTGAATACAGATTCTTTGATGGACACTAGCTGTGATAAGCATATGAACACTTTTACATGTTTATAAATTGTACCATCTGCATGTGGGAAAAACTCTGAAACATAAGATAAAATAGCATAATATATATGAAAGTGTCCTATTTATTATTAAATGTAAAGAATCACTGTAATTATTGGAGTTCATATATCTATCTGAGAATGATCACAAATATTGCCCACCTTTAAAGAATAATTTGGTATTTTTATTACCAAGTGTCATATAGTTACTAGTTACTATTTGTGAAGTACTTGTAATGTTTGCCAGGCACTGTGCTAAATGCTTTACATGCACTATTTTGT